CCTAGGATGTATGACATCATTTTGGGCTAGGCCAGAGTTCAGGAAGCAACAAGCCATTAAAAAGGGTTTAAAACAAGTGAATATAATATATCTTCGTATCTACAGTATTTACTAAAGTCAATTATATAAGGATTAAAAGTAGTTGATGTTGATTGCGAGTCTAGCTCCTTTTTACATGTATGTTATATATTAACATGCCTTGTGACAAGTAAACACAGTCTTTGTGCAATGCCTATACTATGATAGTATTTAAGCTTTCCCCATACAACAATAACTTGCAGCCAATAAAAATGATATACAATATTGCCGTGAACAGATATAAAACAGATGTGAAAGTCTCTTTAAAAGTCTCTAAATAAACAGACACTGTTTCCTTATCTTCCAAAGATATTCTATCATTCATTCTGCATGTGGTATATTCCTCTCACACATGATACATGTGATTAAAAAGGTGCTGCAATGACTCCAGATTGGTCATGGTGTACAACATGGTTAACATTTGTCACCAGCACACCAATGAGTGTATTTTACATTCCAAAGCTCTTTATTCTTGTATTATGACATAGAACATCTATGCCAGAGCTTCTCTATTTCACAAAAGAATAAAACACTTAGCAACAGGTCTGCCGGGATGATGGCAACAGATTTCTACCAGAATATGTCTTTATTACAGGTGTGTATATAGAGCCATCAATTTATACAGTGATTTACACACACACGCATATACACAAACTTTATTTTTCGCTCCATAAGACGCACCTAGGTTTTAGAGGAGGAAAACAGGAAAAAAAATATTCTGAACCAATGGACTTCAGACAGGAGATGTCCAGGGACTGCGGATGTACTACAGGAGATGACCAGAGACTGCAGACATAGTACAGGAGATGACCAGAGACTGCGGATGTACTACAGGAGATGACTAGAGACTGCGGACATAGTACAGGAGATGACCAGAGACTGTGGACATAGTACAGGAGATGACCAGAGACTGCGGACACAGTACAGGAGAGGACCAGAGACTGCGGACATAGTACGGGAAATGACCAGAGACTGCGGACACAGTACAGGAGATGACTAGAGACTGCGGACATAGTACAGGAGATGACCAGAGACTGCGGACATAGTACAGGAGATGACACAGACTGCGGACATAGTACAGGAGAGGACAAGAGACTGTGGACATATTATAGGAGATGACCAGAGATTGCGTACATAGTACAGGAGATGACCAGAGATTGCGTACATAGTACAGGAGATGACCAGAGACTGCGGATACAGTACAGGAGAGGACCAGAGACTGCGGACATATTACAGGAGATGACCAGAGACTGCGGACATACTACAGGAGATGACCAGAGACTGCGGACACGGTACAGGAGATGACCAGAGACTGCGGACACAGTACAGGAGATGACCAGAGACTGCGGACACAGTACAGGAGATGACCAGAGACTGCAGACAGTACAGGAAATGACCAGAGACTGCGAACATACTACAGGAGATGACCAGGGACTGCGGACATAGTACGGGGAGATGACCCGAGACTGCGGACATACTACGGGAGATGACCAGAGACTGCGGACATACTACGGGAGATGACCAGAGACTGCGGACATACTACAGGAGATGACCAGAGACTGCGGACATACTACAGGAGATGACCAGAGACTGCGGACGTAGTACGGGAGATGACCAGAGACTGCGGACAGTATTACCTTACAGGAGATGACCAGAGACTGCGGACATACTACAGGAGATGACCAGAGACTGCGGACGTAGTACGGGGAGATGACCAGAGACTGCGGACGTATTACAGGAGATGACCAGAGACTGCGGACATACTATAGGAGATGACCAGAGACTGCAGACATAGTACAGGAGATGACCAGAGACTGCAGACATACTACGGGAGATGACCAGAGACTGCGGACATACTACAGGAGATGACCAGAGACTGCAGACATACTACAGGAGATGACAGAGACAGCAGACGTACTACAGGAGATGACCAGAGACTGCAGATATACTACAGGAGATGACCAGAGACTGCAGACATACAGTAGTACAGGAGATGACCAGAGACTGTGAACATGGTACAGGAGATGACCAGAGACTGTGGACATGGTACAGGAGATTTATTTATTTATTTATCGAGTTTATATAGCACCAAAGGGTTTGCTCAGCGCTGTACAATAGAGGGGGGGGACAATACATGAAACAGTACAGTAACATCAAACAGCACACAAGGGGTAAGAGGGCCCTACTCTTTCGAGCTTACAATCTAGGAGGGAGGGGGTAGAGGTACAGGAGGAAATGGCTGTGGGGGATGGAGTGGTAGGAGGAGGGAAGGGCAGCAGCGGCTGTTAGCTGAGGGTGGGGTAGGCTTCCTGAAGAGGTGGGTTTTCAGGGAGCGCCTGAAGGTGAGGAGGGAAGGTGACAGTCTGATGGATTAGGGTAGTGTGAGTTCCAGGGATGGGGGAGGACCTGGAGAAGTCTTGCAGTCATGCCTGGGAGGAGGAGACCAGGGAGCAAGATAGAAGGAGGTCCTGTGAAGAGCGAAGGGTACGGGTAGGGTGGTACCTGGGAATCAGGTCGGTGAGGTAGTTAGGGGCAGTGTTGTGAATGGCCTTATAGGTCAGAGTGAGCAATTTGAAATTAATGCGTTGGGCAATGGGGAGCCAGTGGAGGGAGAGGCAGAGGGGGGTGGCAGAGGTGGAGCAGCTGGTGAGGTGGATGAGTCTGGCAGCTCAGTTCAGGATGGTCTGAAGCGGGGAGAGTTTGCACTGGGGGTAGGCCGGTGAGGGGGAGTTGCAGTAGTCAAGGGCGTGAGATAATCAGGGAGTGTACGAGTAGTTTGGTGGTGTCTGGGGTAAGGAAGGAACGTATCTTGGCGATGTTCCGGAGGTGGAGCCTGCATGTGTTTGTAAGTGATTTGATATGAGGTTGAAAGGAAAGGTTTGAGTCCAGAATGACGCCAAGGACCTTGGCTTGCTGGGCGGGATTGATGGTGGTGTTGTTGGTAGTGATGGAAAGGATGGGGGGGGGCGGGCGGGCTGGGGGAAGATGAGAAGCTCGGTTTTGGAGAGGTTGAGCTTGAGGAAATGGAGCGACATCCAGTCAGAGATGTCGTTTAGGAGGTGAGTGATGCGGGCGGAGAATGTGGGGGGTGAGGTGAGGGGTGGATAGGTAGATTTGAGTATCATCAGCGTAGAGGTGGTAATTGAAGCCGTGGGAGTGTATGAGTTTGCCAAGGGAGGAGGTGTAGATGGAGAAGAGAAGGGGTCCAAGGACAGAGCCCTGGGGGACCCCAACAGAGAGGGGGAGGGAAGAGGAGGTGGCATCGTTGTAGGAAACGCTGAAGGAGCGTTGGGATAGATAGGACGAGAACCAAGAGAGAGCGGTGTCTCTGATGCCAAGGGAGAGTAGTTTATTAGGAGGAGGGGGGGTGGTCGACTGTGTCAAAGGCCGCACGGAGAGGTCTAGGAGAAGGAGGACAGAGTAGTCGCCTTTGGCTTTGGCGGTTAGTAGATCGTTGGTGATTTTGAGGAGGACAGTTTCGGTGGAGTGTAGGGGACGGGAAGCCGGACTGTAGTGGGTCAAGGAGGTTGCTGTCAGTTAGGTGGGCGCTTAGGCGATTGAAGACCAAGCGCTCAAGGAGCTTGGAAGTGAGTGGCAGCAGGGAAATTGGTCTGAGGTTGTTGAGGTCAGTGGGGTCCAGGGAGGGCTTTTTGAGTATGGGGGGTGATGTGCGCATGTTTTTAGGGGGGAGGGGAAGACGCCAGTAGAGAGGGAGAGATTGAAGATGTGGGTAAGGGAGCGGATGAGGGAAGAGGGGGGTGACCGGAGGAGTTGAGAGGGGATAGGGTCCAGGGGGCAGGTAGTGAGGCGGGCTTCTGAGAAGACTCTGGTGACTTCCTCAGTGGTAGTAGGGCTGAAGGAGTGCAGTGATGGGGGGGTTACGGTAGGCAGGGCCTTGGGTGTGGTGGGGGGCAGTGCCGTTGCGAGGTCAGAGGAGGGGAGAGATGAGGGGGTGATGGAAGGGGGGAGGCTAGATGGGGAGGTAGATTGCAAGTTGACTATGTCCTTGCGGATTGCGCCAATCTTGTTGTGGAGATGAGTGGCAATCTCGTGGGCGGTAAGTGAGGTACTGAGTGGAGGAGGGGGGGGGGGGGAGAGAGCAGGGAGTTGAAGGTGGAGAAGAGTCGGCGAGGGCAGGTGGAGAGGGTGTTGATCAGGTTAACGAAGTAGGCCTGCTTGGTGGCGTGGAGGGAGGAGGTGTAGGTGAGGAAGGCAGATTTGTAGAGGGAGAATGCATGAGGGGACCTGGTTTTGCGACATAGTCTCTCCAGCGCACGACTGCGACGTTTGAGGCATTTAGAGATGACCAGACACTGCGTACATAGTACAGGAGATGACCAGAGACTGGGGACATATTACAGGAGATGACCAGAGACTGCGGACATGGTACAGGAGATGACCAGAGACTGCGGACATAGTACAGGAGATGACCAGAGAGGACTGCGAACATACTACAGGAGATGACTAGAGACTGCAGATATACTACAGGAGATGACCAGAGACTGCAGACATACAGCAGTACAGGAGATGACCAGAGACTGTGGACATACTATGGGAGATGACCAGAGACTGCGGACATAGTACAGCAGATGACCAGAGACTGCGGACACAGTACAGGAGATGATCAGAGACTGCGGACATACTACAGGAGATGACCAGAGACTGCGGACATAGCACAGGAGATGACCAGAGACTGTGGACACAGTACAGGAGATGATCAGAGACTGCGGACATAGTACAGGAGATGACCAGAGACTGCGGACACAGTACAGGAGATGACCAGAGACTGCGGACATAGTACAGGAGATGACCAGAGACTGCGGACACAGTACAGGAGATGACCAGAGACTGTGAACACGGTACAGGAGATGACCAGAGACTGTGGACATGGTACAGGAGATGACCAGAGACTGCGTACATAGTACAGGAGATGACCAGAGACTGGGGACATATTACAGGAGATGACCAGAGACAGCAGACATGGTACAGGAGATGACCAGAGACTGCGGACATAGTACAGGAGATGACCAGAGACTGCGAACATACTACAGGAGATGACTAGAGACTGCAGATATACTACAGGAGATGGCCAGAGACTGCAGACATACAGCAGTACAGGAGATGACCAGAGACTGTGGACATACTACGGGAGATGACCAGAGACTGCGGACATAGTACAGGAGATGACCAGAGACTGCGGACACAGTACAGGAGATGATCAGAGACTGCGGACATACTACAGGAGATGACCAGAGACTGCGGACACACTACAGGAGATGACCATTGACTGCGGACATAGTACAGGAGATGACCAGAGACTGCAAACCTTTGGGGAGCAGAGGAGCGGGTACCCAATTTGACAGGTACCTGCTCCCACTTCCGCTGCGACCGCCTTTCTCCTTGTAGTCTTTTGGGACACGTGACAGATCCCAGAAGATTACGGGCCATTCACAAAGCTCAGTGCTTCTCGCACATGCGCAGTGGGCACCCAGCCGTGAAGCCACAAGCTGTCACAGTCGGGTGACCACACTGAAGATAATGAGATGCAAAATACATTTTGGCCTAAATTTATGACAAAATTTGATTTTTTTTTACTTTTTTTACTGGCCATATTTAATAGAAAAAAGTCAACAAGATTGTTTTTTTCTCAAAATTGAAGGTCTTTTTTTTTCTATAGCACAAAAAAAATTGAAATTGCATGACTTCAAGTGAAGTCGCTTTATTTGAGGTGGTAAAAACAGGAGATGCGTTTTTACCTCCCCCCAACAACTCCTGCTAAACTGCAAAAGCAGCGGTATGGGGGCATAAACATGCATGCTTTACATTGCAACACAGCAAAAATTATGCATCCATCATGTTCAGAGTGCAGTACTCAGGGCTGCTGTTAGAAACCACAGGGCCCCATACAGCCAACCTGACAGCCCCCCCCCCCCCCAACAAAAAAACACTATTCTTTAGTTATGAATGAACACAGTAAGTGATCGGTAACTCCCTCATTGTGTTCATTTATTAACCCCTTGACGGCGATCGCATGCAAATATGCGGCTTCTCGGCGTCTGGGCCTTGACGCCGAACGGTCGCATATTTGCGTGCAATTAGAAATTACATATGTGCTGAGAGCGCGTGCCCTGTGCGCTTCCAGCACATATGTCCGCAACTCCTGGAAAGGTCCCGATCTCCCCTTTCGGTCGGGACCTTTTCCGATCATGTGACCGTAGTGATGGCGAATCACGGCGGTCACATGACCTTAAAACTCCACCCTGACTCCCAGCTTCTGAAACTCTTAAAGGGCCGGGAGGCACCGTGGTGAAGAGGTTAAAGGAAGGGGATGGTAATTATGACACATTTACTGGACCCTCCCCCCACTCTCTATTTATTGTGTGTTTGCAACAGAGGTAAGGCGGCAGCATTGTGGGGGGGGGGGCACACAGGTGGGCCTGGGTAGCAGACAGGGGCAAACTGGCAACTCATGGGGCCCCCGGGCAATAGGGGATCATGGGGCCCCTGTATCCTTGCCCACACTCAAAGCACCCCCAAAGAAGCCTATAAAAAAAGGTACCAGGGGCATTTCATGGGGCCCCCTACTGACCCCGGGCCCTCGGGCAGTGCCCGAGTGCTCGAATGGTCTGGTCAGACTGCCCCTGGTAGCAGAGGGAAATGAATGGTGCACAGGGAGGGTGATGTGTGTGTGTGGGTGGGGGACAATCACTGGAACCGGTCCCCATATGGATTTCTCTGCAGCAGTTGAAAGCCAGCAGGAGGGAGAGGAGAAGAAGCCAGCTTTCAGCTGCTGCTGAGAGAGCCATACAAGGATCAGTTTCCAGTAATTGTCCCCGTGCCATGCCGATCACTCTCCCTTCCCACATCCCATTCACCACCCAGCCTGGGCTCCCCTGCTGCCCTGGTCCCCTTACAGGAGGACTGGTGTTACCCCTTTATCCACGGCCCTGGCAGTACTGCCTGCTGAACATGACTCTTTAAGTGAATGGGCTGCACCCAGGACCATTGCTACCACTAAGCAAACTAGGCAGCTGCCTAGGGCACAGCCCCGGCCAGGGCTACTGATAAGGCAGTGCAGCTGGGCCTGCTGTAACATCAGTTATATTTTCCCTGGGGCCCATCACTTCACCAGAGGGGCGCAGGAGGCATGGAGCATAGAGGAACTCTTTTTTCATTTTGGGCGCAGGCAGCTAAATCCTCGCTACATTTGCATAGCTGATTACCACTGATCACAGCCTTTCACTAGAGGAATGATTCTTTCACTAGCGGAGGAATTATTCCTTCCTCTGCTGCAGAGGGCAGAAGGCGACGCTTTAGTCTGGCGGCGTAAGGTGATTCAACAGAGAGGTGGCCGAAGGCACAGGCAGCAATGGGAACCCGATGCACAGGCAAGCTCACAGTTTCTGTTTTCTGAGCCACAGACAGACATACAACCATACCCTGTATAAAGACAGACATACAGCACCTTCTGTACTGTGTAATCATGATAATCAGATGCTTCCTGTTCTTATTTATACTTGTTTGAGGGACATGAAAAATGTGCAGCTGAGCCACACTTTTACCATTGCACAACCACTCCCCATTATGCTGCGAAGGCATTGCCACCTTAGTATGGCAATAGTATGGCAATAGTGGCGGGGTGTTGTGTGAAAACCCTCCTGCTGCCGTACTCTGCCATACTATGGTGACAGTGACTGTCAGGTGGAAATGTTCCAATATTATTATTATTTATTATACAGTATTTATAAAGCGCAAATAGTTCGCTCAGCGCTGTACATTACAAAGGGGAACAGAACATGGGACAGAACAATACCAATACAATGCAAAACATGAGGGGATCGAGGGCCCTGCTCTTTGGAGCTTACAATCTAGGAGGGAGGGGATGGTGGCACAGGAGGAGATAGCTGTGGGGGATGGAGTGGTAGGAAGAGTGGAGGAGGACGGCAAGTTAGCAGGGGGTGGGGTAGGCTTCCCCCTGAAGAGATGGGTTTTCAGGGTGCGCCTAAAGGAGAGGAGAGTAGGTGATAATCTGATGGGTTGGGGCAGGGAGTTCCAGAGGATGGGTGACACCCTGGAGAAGTCCTGGAGGCGGGCATGGAAGGAGGAGACCAGGGAACTAGAGAGAAGGAGGTCTTGTGAGAAGCGGAGTGTGCGTGCTGGGCGGTACTTGGATATTAGGTCAGTGATGTAGTTCGGGGCAGTATGGTGGACAGCTTTGTACGTCAGTGTTAGGATTTTGAATTTGATCCGTTGCGCAATTGGACGCCAGTGGAGGGATTGGCAGAGGGGGGTGGCGGAGATGGAGCGGTTGGAAAGGTGAATGAGTCTGGCAGCCGTATTCAGGATCGACTGAAGCGGGGATACCCAGCGGCGAGGCAGGCCAGTGAGGAGGGTGTTGCAGTAGTCGAGTCGTGATATGATGAGGGAGTGGATGAGCTGTTTAGTGGTTTCTGGGGTTAGAAACGTGTGGATTTTGGCGATGTTGTGGAGGTGGAGTCTGCACGAGTTTGTTAAAGATTGGACTTGGGGCTGGAAGGATAGGTTGGAGTCCAGAATGACACCAAGTACTCTGGCCTGCGGGGTGGGTTTGATGGTGGCATTGTTGGATGTGATGGAGAAGTCAATGGGGGGGTGGGGTCCGGGCTGGGGGGAAGACAAGAAACTCGGGTTTGGAGAGGTTCAGTTTAAGGAAGTGGAGCGACATCCAGTCTGATATGTAGCTCAGTAGGTGTGTGATTTGGGCGGAGACCGAGGGGGTGAGGTGGGGGGTTGAGAGATAGATTTGTGTGTCGTCGGCATAGAGGTGGTAGTTGAAGCTGTGAGAGTGTATGTGTTGGCCAAGGGAGGAGGTGTAGATGGAGAAGAGAAGGGGCCCGAGGGCAGAGCCTTGAGGGACCCCAACAGACAGGGGGAGTGAGAGGGAGGAGGTAGCATTATAGGTAACGCTGAAAGAGCGTTGTGACAGTTGTCTAACCTCCAGATCACTTCCACACACCCCCCCCCCTCATGTTCCCTGCCATGCTTCCCTGGCTCTGCGCTTCCATCAGCGGACCTGGGACCTGCATGGTGGGTGCCACCAGTAGAAGGGAGGGAGATCAGCAAACACCTTTTCACTGATCTCCCCTTCCTGTTAATGACCTGGAAGAAACGTGTAAAACGTCACTTCTGGGTTCTGTTGTCACTGTCCTCAGACAGGATTGAATGATACTAGCTGCAAACTTCAGACAATCCGTGAAGAGGTATCCAGCCAATGAGGTGCAGAGCAAGTTGTGCTGCGCGCAACATCACTTCCTCCCAGCTCCACAGTCAGTCTCCACACAGAGCTAACATTGGCAAGGATTAGCTCCGTGTGAAATTTAATTTTTTTTTTGGGGGGGGGGGGGCAGGGAACAGGTGCAATTAGCTGGTCCTGCCTAGGGCGCAAAATAGTCTAGAACCGACCCTGATTGCACCGCAACCAGATGCAATGCATGTGCTCGTGGCATGGTTGTACAAGCTTTTAGGGATAAAATAGGCAACATAACACCTCCTATCAAATGTTCTTTGAAAAGTGATCCACAGCAAATCGTTCTTCAGAGGGCTTCTGTGTAAATGTGCCCTTGGGCGTTAAAGCGGTAATAAAACCAAAACCAAAAATGTAATATATTGCAGCTTACCAATCTGTAGATGTGGCGACTGCATTCTTTTTTTTAAGGCTCTTTTCACTGTGTGACCTGGCCAGTAACACACGTCCTGTTATTAGTGTGCCCCCACTCTGGATGAAGGAGCATAGGGCAGCAGCATTGTCAGTTTGAGGGGTGAGGAGAGTGATAGATGCACTAGAAGATTTAAATACACTAACACATTAAAGCCAAACTCCAGCTCACACTAAGGTTACACACGCAGTTACTGCAGTTTTTTTTCCCTTTGGGATAAGCCCTGGTTCACACTGATGCAATGTGGAATTTGCAGTGTTTTCAGTGCCAATTCCGCACCGCATCAGAATTGCACCCCATTCATGCGAACCACTGCGGGTGTATGATAACAACATCCCGAAAGCGGTCCGCAAAACACAATGCGATGTGCAGAATTGGATTGCATAGGTGTAAATACCCATGCGATCCAATTCTAGTGCGGACCCAAAAAAGGTTCCTGCACTTTTTTGGTGTGGGTGTGGTGCGAATAGAGCCATACATAATGTATGGCTCCAATCGTACCACACACAAATCACATGTGATTTGCACAGGAATGTGGTGCGGTTCCTGTGCGAATCACATGCGATATACCCACACCGCACATATGTGAACCCAGGCTTAAAGTTTTACA